CATTTCCATTTTTGGAGAATTTGAAAATCTACACGACCAATAAAAAGTTGTGGGACTAAGTGATTTGCACTGTATATATGAATTCAATTTGTAAAATGTTTCGTTTCCTTGTAAATTCAATTATGTCTGTTTTTAAAGGAAAAAAATTTGAATTGGAAATTAAAAATTTGCTGAACAAATATAGAATAAATCTTGTGAGAACAGAGTGAGTATTTTTTTGCTCACTAAGTAATTGTCGAATTATTATATATCTGAAGTTACGCTGCTACTAGGATTTAAATGAAAAGAAATTGAAAGCGCTTCGTGGCCACAACTTGTGAAAGTTACCAGTTGGGTAACCAGACCTGATGTATGGTGGACGACCTGTTTGTGAACGTTCTTTCTTTCATCCGAAAAGCTGCTGGCTGCAGTGTCAGAGCTGTAGTGAATAGGATATATGAAAAAATTTAAAAGCTCATCATGGCCATAACTTGTGGATAACTTGTTACGAACGTTTATCTTGCTTCTTGATAATGATGAAACAATACTTATTTTTATATATGTATATATATTTGTTTTTTAGGTCCTCCAGAGATAGCGGAGTTGATTTGTTGGGAGCATTTGTTCACGAGGATGAAAAATATGTCTTGGTTGTTCAGTGCAAGGTAAATATGTTATTTAATATGTGTGTATTATTAAATATATTTTTAATATATGTATGTATTATTAAATATATTTTTTAATTTATAGCATGCAAAATCCTTTCCTCATGTTGTTCGTGATTTAAGAGGTGTTATGGCTATATACCAGATTATACATCAATTGGTATTTTAGTCGTTAATTCCGAACATGACATTAGTAATCGAATGAGAGAAGAAGCTAGGTTAGCATCATCTAATATCATCATATCAGATGAAATTAGCATATATGATGATTTAACTCGCTTTCTTGTATATCTTAAACAACAAAAAGCTCTCAGACATTTAAGAGAAAAAGAGGCATTGAGGAAAGAGATAGGAGAAGACATGGAGAAAGAATTGTTGAAGAAAATGATGGATGAGTTGAGGGAGATGTATATAGAACTAAAGAGGATGCATTTAGAAGAAAGAAAATTAATTTTAGATCAGGGGAAACGAATTGATTTTTTATTTTTATATAATTTTATTTTTTTATTTATTATATTAATTATATTATTATTTATATTTTACAAATAAATTATATATATATATATACAAAATTAATTAATGAATTTTATTATTGAAGTTTTATTAGGTTTAATAATTTAAAAAAATGTTAGAGGCATTGACGAAAGAGATAGAAGAAGACATGGAGAAAGAATTGTTGAAGAAAATGATGGATGAGTTAAGGAGATGTATATAGAACAAAAGAGGATGCATTTAGAACAAAGGAAATTAATTTTAGATCAGGGGAAATGAAATGATTTTTTTTTATATATATTTTTATTATTATCCAAATAAATTTTATATATATATATATATTTTTACAAAATTAATTAATGAATTTTATTATTGAATTTTTATTAGGTTTAATAAAAAAATGTTAAACGATTTAATTTATTATAATTCTAATGTATGGAAATCTGTAAAACAATTTCTATTATCCTTGAAACATAGTGTAACTTTACATAAACTGCAGTAAACTACAGATTTTAATTCATTACTTGAAGATTTCCCTTCTTCTTTTTGCCTTTTGTATCAGCACCACACAAAAGTTTTTCTCTTATCCATTTCAGGAAAATGTCTACCAAGCCTTAATCTTTCTGTAGGTAAAGCAAGATTACTTGTTGTTATGTAAATTGCTCTATCATTTCTTGAAGTTCTTGAAGTACTTCTTGAAGTACTTCTTGATTTACTTCTTGAACTTCTAATATTAATATCATTTTTTTCATCCAAACCAGAATTAATTAAATCCCAAGCCAAGTTTATTCTTTACTGTTGATATTCTAGATATTATTGTATACAATACAAATATTTATGCTGATGAAAAAGGTGCTGGAGCTGGAAGACGATGGGATGCTCTTGAATTAAGTGATTTTAAAATTTGGTTGGGAATAGTAATATATTCAGGAATTTTTAAATTACCATCAATGAGAGATTATTGGAAAACTTCTGATAAATATCCACAACATAAAATTACTGAATACATGTCTTTAATCAAATTCGAGCAAATTAAAAGATATTTTCATGTCTCAGATCCAACTGAAAACATTCAAGAAAATACTCCATGGTATCACAAAATCGAACCACTTGCATCATCTATTTTAAATAGTTGCATGAAATATTACCTTCCTTCCTCAAATTTATCAGTTGATGAAATGATTATTAGATTTTCTGGTAGAAGTCCTCATACTATTAGAATGAAAAATAAACCTACTCCTGAAGGATATAAAGTATTTGCTTTGTGTGATGCAGGGTATACATATAATTTTATGTTCACATCAAGAATTAAAAAGAATTCATTTATTCAAAATATACCAGGAGTGAATCAAACAGGATGTGAAGTTTATCATTTATTAAAAGAATTGCCAACTGGTAAATCTTTTAATATTTACATGGTTAACTATTTTGGTAGCATAAATTTATTTAATTATTTACATGAAAAAAAAATTGGTGCATGTGGTACTGTATGTAAAAATACATCCAAATTTCCAAATGTTCTGAAGACTGATAAAAATTAGATTGGAACATGCTTAGTGGAGTTGTTGTGGATGATTTATTATCAATTTTGTGGATGGACAATGGCCAGTAACAATGTTGAATACAATTCATGAAATTATTAGCACAGAAAATCTAGTAGAAAAAATGCATCATTGTCCAGGGATTACAAGTACAAATGCAGTAAAAGTCAAACAAGTATTTGGGAGTGCAGTTAGTAAATCTTTCCCAATTCCAAAAGTAATAGATGATTGCAATGCTTATATGAGTGGTGTAGACATAGCTGATCAATTACATGGTTATTATGCTACTCAATTGACAGCCAGGAGAACTTGGATACCAATGTTCTTTTTGTTACTAGATACTGTAAGTGTCAATTGTCATTTAATCCATAAAAATTGCAATGGAGATTTGGAACACAAAGATTTAGAGTAAACTTGGCTTATGATTTAATTGTTTCTGGTTTGGATGAGTTCAAGAAGTAATTCAAGAAATACTTCGAGAACTTCAAGAAATGATAGAACAATTTACACAACAATGAGTAACCTTGTTTTATCTACAGAAAGATTAAGGCTTGGCAGGCACTTCCCTGAAATAGATAAGAGAAAAGGCTTGCATGTGGTGCAGATACAAAAGACAAAAAAAAAAGGAAAAATCTATAGTTT